GCGAGCTAAGAAAATGTTTATCTCCCTGAGCTTGGCCTTCATAATTCCATTCCATCACAGCAGTAGATGTAGGACAAGTATAAGGTGTTCCCAATACTGGGTGTTAGTGAACGAATGGTTTTTAAAGTCAGCCCCAAGTAGAGTGTTACAGCAGTCCAAACAGTTATGAGCCATTGTAGAGGACATAGGGAATGGCCTTGAGGGACAGGAGGAAGAGCCACTACCAAGGCAATGATCCGACAAGCATGACTTGAGCCCATTCCAAGAAAATAATTTGAGTAAACATCTCAGGTAGGCCCTCCTTTGTTCACCTGAAGATAAAGCGAAGGAGGGGGGAAGCACATTCAGACTAGCAATAAAAGTCGTTTTAGATCTATATGGCATTGGATTCTTAATCTGGCCTAACTCATAGATCTAAAGTGCTGCACAGACCTTTTTTTTTTTCTATTTTTTCCTCCCTCCTTCTGAAAATCTTGAGGTACATTGATTGATTTAACCAATGCATATGGCCGCCCAATGCACAAATCTGGGCAGCTAACAGAAGTTTAAGACTGAAAACAAAAATCTTATCATGGGTCTTACTCATGGATAATGCCCTTTTGAATAAACAAGCTACTCACATTTTGAACCCTGGACACGGAAGGAATGGACTTATTTTATAAGATTCTCAGAAGTACACAGAGAAAACAGAACAAAACCCCTGACCTCAAGGTGTTTACAATCTTAAATTCAAACATGATGAAAGAAACAGGTGGAAGATGCGTAGGGAATATAATCAGAAGCTTATGCTCTTTAGTAAAATGTATCAGAAAAGGCGCTACCAGACTTTTGATTTTTTGCTACCGTAGACTAACACGGCTCTCCACCGTGTTAGTCTACAGTAGCAAAAATAGGGAATATGTGATTTTAAGCATGAATCCTATGAATATTTTTCAACTCAGCAAGGAAAGGTGGAAGTGGTGGAAAGCTATCGTTTTTAGCTTTGAAACAGAAAGGATGTAGCCTTCGTTGGATATAACCTGAGGGTTTATTGCAGAGAAAATAGCAGAAAGGAAGCTGCTTAACTTCAAAATAGAAAGAGACATAGCCTTTGTAGAATACAGCTCAAGGATTCATTGAAGAGAAAATTGGAGGGAACAACGAAAGCTATTACCTTTAGCTTTGAAAGAGAGAGAGATGTAGCCTTCATAGGATGTGGTCCAAGGGTTTTATCCAAGACAAATGGATTTTCTTTTGCTTGTGGTGAGGCCATTTTTCCATCCATGGGGTTGATCTTCTAGACGGGGAACCCAGACCTTTCTGTTTAGAGTCAAAATATGACTGAAGGTTATCTAATTTCTAGAATGTATACATGGGGAATTTCTGGCCTATAGGCCTAATCCTAAACTCAAAGGTTCCTCCTATGATCTCAAGTACCATGGTGCCAAAGTCCACTCTTCTCTTAAGCCCTGTCTTTCCATAATATCCCATTGCCTTCAACCCCTATCCCTTTTCTTAATCCTTAGCCTTCCTTCCCCCAGGCTTCACTGATATTAGTCCACATATAGAACCATGTTGTAACTTTAAAGAGGGAGGAGAGATAATGAATTTGCTTGTAACTGCTCTAAAGAAGGTTAGAAGCTGCTTCTTTATATATCTTTTATTTTCCTTTTTCTACCTGCACTGTCTTTCCTACTTCTATTTCTTCTTTTATCTTTCTTTTTTTTAATTTCACTCTATATAATGTCATGCTTATCTTTTACTTATGTGAAAATCTTTAATAAAAATTATTCTATTTATTTTATCTTTTTTTAATCTTATTTTTAAAGAAGGTATTAGTCCACATATAGACTTCAGTCATACTGTTCAATGGGCTTATTTTAAGTACTAAATCAGGAAGATGACTTCATGGCTTCTAGTCTAAAACCATTGGCTTCATTGCTCTGTTTGGTGGCTAGACAACTTTTCAGCATGTGGGAATATTAACAAGGAATTACAGAGAGAAAATTATACACATGGATTGACACCAAATTATAATCCCTATATTGCAGATGAATAACTGAAGTCTACTCCATCACTGATGCAGCCCCCAAAAGCTTTGAGGGATGGCTCTCTCCATTCCCACAACAAATTGCTCCTAATTTATAACTCTTAATGTGATGAAAGTGCTAAATAATTAAGTATATTAGCTATATTAAAATTAACAGTAATTGAAACTAACTGAGATGTGGCCACAGTTATGTCATGCAATAAAACCCCAGTTCACAAGTCAAAGGCTAGATGCGGTCCTCAGCCTCCCACCCCACTCCAGGTTGAGCACTGCTTGCACTAGGTGATCAAAATAGCATCTTTTCATGCTGGCAACTGGAATGTGCCATAATGTCAGTGAAGGATGGGACGGGACGGAGAAAGGAAGGAAGGAAGGAAGGAAGGAAGGAAGGAAGGAAGGAAGGAAGGAAGGAAGGAAGGAAGGAAGGAAGGAAGGAAGGAAGGAAGGAAGGAATAGCACGTAGGCTAATGAACTCTTTGCAACCTCAGACAGCAGACCAATCATGGGAATGTTGATAATTACAGTTCTGTGGCATCCTGAGATTCAGAATATCCACATACCTACATTTATATCTTCCCAGTATGAACACTGCAAATATTTTATAAAGCCTAACAAAAACAATAGGGTAGGGATCTGCGCTTAATACAGAAGGTATTAGGAACATGGGATTATCAGCTGTCTAAATCCACTGAGTTCTATGGACTTAGCACCTGGCTGACCTTGGAAGCTAAGCAAGGTCATCCTGATGAGGGACCACTAGGGAATCACAGAGTTGAAGGCAATACCAGGAAGTTGAAAAAGCATCCCGGAAAAGAAAAAGACAGACCATTTCTACACTGCTGCCAAGAAGACTACATGGACATGTATTTTAAGTCTCGTGGAATAAAATTTAATTTGAAGGAAACCTTTTAAAATGTAATGTATAGGTTTGCAGCTTAATAGCACAATCCTATATCTGTCCCCTCAAGAAAAACGAAATAAAATGCTGAATTCAGTTCTGAAATAAAAGTGGATTATGGGCTACAAGAATTCCTGTTTAAATCAGAATTCCATACCTTTGTGTTATCATTAAAAAAATATTTCCCCTACTCCTTTTTTACAACCACTGAACAGCCAAAGGTCAGTGGGACTTACTTTTTCATAAAGGAGAGCAAAGGATGTTGTCCATGAAACACACCTCAGTAGTGGATTCCCAAGGTGAAAAGTAACCCCGTCCCAGTTAGATCCTCCTCTTCATCCAATCCTTGAATTAATTAAACCGGGGCTAATTTTATGAGTTTCTCTCCACCCAGACTATTTCAGTGTTTTATCTCATCTGTAAATTCCATGTGTATCTGAAAAGGCCCAACCTTCCATCTTGGGGCCCTGAGCCAATGGCTGTATCAGGATTAATGAGTGCTTGACACAGCTAACATCAAACAATATGCAAACAGTGTGGAATGTGCTTTGGCCAACCTGGGTTGCTAAACACAGCCTGTACTTTGTGTTTCATCTTCAGCTGACAATCCATCTTCCAGAGAATCTGACCTCGTTAAATAAAAGCAAAATATCTTCATTAGGTTTCGGGCTCCTCCTAAGTCTTCTGAGTTTCAGAGACATTGCATTCTGTTTATGCTGCCATAAGAACACATGGAAGGAACAGGACGAAAGCTGCTTTGGCTAAATGTGGGTAAGGGTAGACCTCAAGAAAAGGTGAGGTCTCCTTCACTAGAGATGGTTGAATTAATGCTGGGCTAAACTCCTCTAGTTCTCAAAATCTCTCTTCCCTCTTGAAAGAGACTTGTTTCCTTACCTTTTTTCTTGCAAAACTCCTTCAGATTTCTCTTGTTGGTGTTTTGGAGCTTGTTGGAGATGTCAGAAGGTCCTACTGCTGTTGTTGTTTTCCATTACTCATCTGTCTATCACTCAGTAGCTTTGAGGGTTGGACCTGGTGATCCTTCTGGTCCCCTCCACCCCTATGATTTGATAATTCTCTGGCTGCTTCAAAACCTGAAGAAGTCCCACAGGAGGACCTTGGTGGTAGGCAGCTGTATGTCAAAGGAATCTCCTGCTCTGAAGATCCTGCAGTGGACAGAGGGCAGTGGTCTAGATAACTTCTGTGCATGTCTGCAGGATCTTGCTGCTTTTGTTAAAATGACAAACAAAGCTTCACACTTTTGTACCACAACTTCTGTCCCTTTTATAGGTGTGTATGATGTTGCCATGTCCATACAAAAGCGGCTGGGGTGGCCTTGCAATGGCATGATGTTGTTTACGTCATTCTGCCCTCACCCCTGGCTCTCCCACATAATCTCCAGGCCCCACTGATCTCTAAATTCTGTGAGTCTCTGATTTCACTTTTAAAATGGCTTCACAACCAATGGCCAAGAAGACAAACATGAACCATGTCCTGTTTGGAGTAACTTGGCAAGTTTCAATAGTTTTCCAGAACAATTCACTTTCACAAGAAGAGATAAATCCATGCAGGAAGTAAGGTTTAGCACTGGCTATCAACAGGAATGGCTTAGTGAAACCTCTTCACTAGAGGATGAAGAGGATGTATGCCTCTTTATGCATTTTTAAAACCCAGGATATATTTTTTAAGAACATCTTAACTTCTGCCAAAAGATGGCACTGTTGGCATCAGGCAATCTTTTCCAAGAAGGATAAATGATAAACCACAACCAAGAAGTCCTCATTTTTTTTTTCTTGGCATCTCCAAGTTCTCCTCAGATTACAGTTATGGCTACAGGTGGAATTTACCTCCTGAAAACATGTTGATATGAGGAGTCAGCAACTTGATCTGGGAAACAAGATTTTCTCAGGTGTGTAAGGACCAGATATCAAAGCCTTAAGAAGCCACCACACCTGGAATGGTGCACAGGGGACTACTTTGTTTCCATTATGAAACATAGGCAAGTTGCAGTTATGGATAGAAAGGCAGGTTATAAATAGTAATAAATATTTAAACCCTACCCATCAGAATCAATGAGATTCCATTTAGATTCAGGTCCCTTGATTTCAGTGGTTCAACTCTAATCCAACCTTTCCCCCTATGTATTATTAACAAATGTCACAGCTGTCAGAATAAGAAACTTGAAAGACAAATCTGGGGAAAATAAAGCTGAGAAACTTTGCAGCAGTTTGTCTGCATACTAAAAACAGTTTTTTTTTTCCTTTAGTAATGCCAAAGAATCACATTACATGCCTTCAAGTCCCAGTTCACTCAACACCAGTTCTTTTGTACTAGAACTTTGGGGGGGGGGGGTGAGTGGGATCTGTAGCCCAAGATCCTCCAAGGGTTAAATGATTCCCACCAAGCACCCTCCCACCCAACTAAGGAGGAAGCGCAGAGCAGATGAGATGATTGCAACCAAAAGAGAGAAAACTTACTTGTTCGTCAGGCAGGTCTGAACTCTTCAATCCCCTTGAGGCAAGCAGCCAAATCATGTGTGTGTTCAGGGATCAGCCTTCTTTTTGAAGGTGGAGATTTAGTGCAAGGCATTGCATAACTTTTCCCTTGCTTTTTTTTTAACTGGGTTCCATCCTTCCCAGCAAAACAAAGCAACAGGACAGATTTATAAGCTGAACTGCCGATTGTTTGCATTGTTAATCAATGGGCATTTTTCCTGCAGCTGCATTCAGGGCCAGATCTTTGCTTGCAGATAGCTGGCGTCTTTAGAGGTAGAAGAACAAAAATCAACTTCTTCCATCGTATGGTCTTTGGACTCAAGTGGTAATGATTGCCTGAAAGAATTGCTCCCTTACTGAAGAACACACAGCTGTCTCTCTGGATTGAAAAAATCTGGGTGACGGCTACATGGCGCCAAAAAGATACTAAAAGCTCTAACCATATTGCCATCTATTGGTCTTTGGGATTTTTGCAGTCCAGATTTAAAAAAAAAAAAAAATTATGTGCCATCAAGTCTGTGTTGACTCTTAGGGACCACATAGAAGTCCAGATCTGTTAGCCCTAGAAGAAAAGGTATGTCCATCATGCTCACTCCAGTGAGTGGAAAACAGCATAGAGACACGTGGCAGAAAGTTAGCTCATTCATGTTGTAAAAGACTCAGGCCTAACACTTTGGAACCTTCTCCCTTGAAGCTCCAGAAAAGAATAGGGAACTCCAGATTATTTCTGGGTTATTTCAAAGTTCCAGGATGGAGGAAGAGAGGAGGAGGACAAATAATTAGTGATGTCCATATCTACATAATAGAAGATTAATTAGAAGATACAGTGCAAGCTATTATATAATTCATCAACCGTCTTCAATCTGGTACTCACCAACTGTTCTGGACTATAGCTCCCTTATTGCTGGCCTGGATGATATCACTTACAAGGTGAAGAGTATTTCTTCTGAGGAACTTGCTAGATTTATAGAAATCATCTGGCTGGCAATTATAAGAAGTCTGACTCCATCATACCCAGAGGCTGTCTGAATTATACTGATGTTTGTCTCACCCTATTTTTCACTCCCCTAAGGTTGTTCAAACACAAGGAGATAAGGATTAAAAAAGAGAATGTGGCAAAAGCTATTGTTTCTTGGTCCTACAGGTTATCTTAGCATCTTAGATAAATGTGTAATGTGTTGGGTAATTTTCAATTGTCTCTAAATTGTTAAACATCACTTGAACCAAAAGATGGCAGAAGTTGGCTAACAAAGTTGGGGGTGTTATGGCTTTTAATGTGTATTTCAGAGTGTAGGCCATCATTGTCCCATCTCAGCATCTTCCAAGATATGTGGACTTCAATCTTCAGAATCTTCAGCAATGGACCTGCTAGGTGGGCAATTCTGGGAAGAGAATTGTGCACAGACCTGGTAAAATTCCTCTTCTTTTAAAATAAATCTTAGAGGGGTTTAAAGTTGCATAACAAGTAGTTCTTCCAATTTATACTTACCTGGTCTAAAATCTGCTTTGAAGGGCCCTTTTTTGAGTGCCCTCAGCAAACACACTGTAGCAAATGCCATGTAGAGAAAACATTCTTTGTGGTGACACTCCAGTTACGGAAAGTCTGTCCCTTTCATATTTGTCCACATGGAACATGAACTTTTAAAGACAATAGTATACTTCAGATAACCCATAGTACAAGAAAAACTCTATTCAATGTGTATTAAATAATTTGTCCGAAGAACAGTTTGGTTTCAGGACTGCTAAGGCTGCTTCCCACAGGATGAAAACATTCTAGATCCTGATTCTAAATTCCAATTTCACTCATTGAGAAGAAAGAGAGGCCAAGTTGGCTGACAGAATGTATTTATATTTATTTATATATTTATATTTCAAATTTGGTCACCGCCCATCTCACTAGGAAGCGACTCTGGGTGGTTTACAGTAAAACAAGAATAAATGTTAATTAAAATACAATAAAAATACAATAAAAACCATTCATACATAAATAATAATATATTCCAGGGTACTGCTGGTAGATAAGGGTATTAACCTACAGGAGCATCTTCAAGGTGCTAGCGACCCCCAGGGTTGGTTGCCCCCTTCTCGCCCCATGCAAGTTGGCAGAGCCAGGTCTTCACCCCTTTCCAGAAAGTCAAAAGAGTAGGGGCCTGTCCCACTTCTGGGGGGAGGCTATTCCATAGGGCAGGGGCAACGGCAGAGAAGGCTCTGCATGTAAAGAGAATGTAAAGAGAAATACCTGGTCCCTTCCAAAACTTCGTTCTTAATGTTCAAAAAGTGCCTCTATGTTCCCCCCACCACCCCAAAGGCTAAAATGTTTTCAGAGACAAACATAAGACATTCACTTTAACATTTCACACGGTGGGTCCGAAATTTGTTACCTTATCAGCTTATTTCAACCCCTGCCATAACAGACAGCTTACTGGTTAACCTGGATAACCCCCGAAAGTTACTGTCTAAAATGGCCTGTGAGCAGTTAGCTTTAGCTCCTTGTTGAAAGCTTAATGGTTAATGCTCAAGAGGCTACTCATCAATCATATATTCACAGCTGCAGCTGAACAATAGCTGAGCTGATAGTATCTTACTCTCAGTTCAACCTCTCTCGCTGAGCTATGGTACAAACCACCATTAGATGGTAGCAAAGAGACACAGAAACCATACTGTGGTTGCGAGGATTTTTGCCCCACATCATGATATCCTACTAGACTAGCTTATTTTATATATATTTTATATACTTATATTTTATCACTTGATCCTTGGATATAAATGGTGTAAGCACAGTTGCTTATGTACTGGTAACCTCACAGTGAGCCTAGTGTAATTTATTTATTTTATTATTTATTAAATTTATATGCCACCCATCTCCCCCAGAGGGTGACTCTGGTAATGCTCTCTAAGTTATAGCAACTAGAGACTGAACAGGATCAAACTTGAAAAGGCTACTCAGGGTTGACCTTGGTTAGTACTGGGACAGGAGAGTGACAGGAAATCCCAGAGTGATAGACTGGACTGGGGAGTTTAAAGCAAATATCCAAAAGAAAGCAATGCCTATTAACTTCAATATTGTCCCCTAGAAAACCACATAGATATTGCCAGTCTCTAGGAGATTGAAGTTGAGTTGAACAAGATGTACCTTCATGTATCATACTCTAGAGATGTGGTTATCTTTGTCCTTGATCCAGACGTTGTAACATCTGGCATGCACATGTTACTCCTTTACTGAAACAATTGCCCTGGCTACTAAGCCAGTTTCAAGAGAAGATCATAATTTGGGATTTGGTTATCTGACAAACCATCTTCTCCACTGCAGGCCCGGTTAATTTCTTTCCCCAGGCATTCCCAGCAGGAATGATTTGTTATTTGTTTTCTTTTTGCATCCATTTTAGAGGCGACAGCACGTTTTAAGCAGTTTAAATTACT